GCCCAATGAGTGGCGTCAAGCTGGTGATGCCCATCCAGTTGGCCACGCCCAATGAGTGGCGTCAAGCTGGTGATGCCCATCCAGTTGGCCACGCCCACCCAGTTGGCCATGCCCAATGAGTGGCGTCAAGCTAGCGATGCCCACCCAGTTGGCCACGCCCACCCAGTTGGCCATGCCCAATGAGTGACATCAAGCTGGCTTTGCCTGCCCAGTCAGCCACTCCTGCCCAGCCCCCTGAGGTCAACCCTGACAGCCCTGATGTGCCCCTCAATGAAATTGAGCTTGACACCCCTGCTTTGTCAGATCCCTTGCCTAGAATCCCTTGCCAGAATCCCAACCAGCCACTTGTGCAAAAAGGATCCATCAATCTGTGCATTGCCTTTTGTTCCCTTTTGCCCTGAAAAGGGCGGTTAACCCACAGGGGGAAAAAAAAAATGACGGGCCGGTTCTTCTGTTCTGATTCATTTAATTCATGTTCATGCTGAGGCTGAGGAGCATCTTGGACCCCTCAAAGATCTTCCATCCTCACCTTTCCCCCCCCCTTCTCCCCTTTATTTCCTCAGCTCACGTGGAGAACGAGGAGCAATACAGCGAAACTCTGGAGAACTTTGGCAATAACCACCTTTCTCAGAACAACCACGAACTTTCCACTGGCTTCCTCAACCTCGCAGTTTTCACCAGGGAAGTGACGGCGCTTTTAAAAAACCTGGTAAGGGGTAGAGTTGGGCGTGGATTGTTCCTGGCTGGTGGTTTGCTGATTTCTTTTTTCTTTTTTTCTTTCCCCCACTTTTTAAAGATGCGAATTTAAATCTGCCTGGGCGCAGTTCCCCCCAGTTCAAAGGAGCGAGCACAGCCCAGACAAAGGGACACAGCCTCTATAGGGACACAGCCCCTATAGAAGGCAACGGTGATGGTTGATTGTGGCCCAGGCAGTCCCAAAAAGCTGGCCTCCTTGTGGGCAACTGTTTCCTACATTAGCTTGGCTGCTGTTATCCCAAACGCACATTTTTCCCTTCCTGGCGGGCTGCCAATTCCCTGAGCTGAATGGCTGCCAGCGAGGGATCACAGAGAAGCTGTTTCAAGGTGGTCTGTTCAACAAGGAGGGTGGAGTAAGATAAGAGGAGCTTTGCTCTACAGCTGAAAAAGTCTCTGGAGTTTATTTGAGTTAAGTGCAGCCACCACCACCACCACCCCGGGCACGATTTAGCATTTGTTGAACCTTTCCTGCGCGCCAGAAAACCCTTTTTGCATCCATTCTGTGGCTAACTCTCTGGAGGTCTGTCTCGGCAATTTTGAGAGGCCTGGACTTGAACTCCCAGAATTCCCTAGCCAGAATTGGCGGCTAAGGAATTCTGGGAGTTGAAAAACCCCAACTTCTTGAAGTTGCCAAGGTTGAGAAACACTGCTCTCTGGAGAAACTTTTAAGCAGCCTGAGTTGCAGCCACGGGCACCAAGGGGAATCAGAGGTGATATTCAGCCAGTTCTGACCGGTTCTGGAGAACCCGGTAGCAGAAATGTTGACTAGTTCGGAGAACTGGCAAATCCCGCCTCTGACTGTCTCCGCTCCAACCTATTCTCCGTCTCCAGAGTCCCAGCTGATCGGCTGGGTCTTCTTTGGTTGCCCTGCACAGGAGAACGGAGCTGGAAAGCAGGTTAGTGGGATGGGGAGGGAATGGAGATTTTACAGTATCCTTCCCCTGCCACACCCACCAAGACACGCCCACCAAGACACACCAAGCCCACCAAGCTACACCACACCCACCAAGCCACGCCCACAGAACCTGTAGTAAACAAATTTGAATACCACCACTGAGGGGAATGGTTTGAGGTCAAAAGTCCCCAGCCCAGCCTGGTGCAAATCTGGAGGTAAAGATGACAAGCCTATACAATTCAGCCCCCTGTAGTAACTTTCTCTGGGATTTTTGCTAAGGAGAGAAAAGTTTCCAAGCCTGAGCTTTGGGGGTTGAGGAAATTGCCTAGGAACGGAATTGCAATTCCATTTTGGATTTGTACCGCATCCAACATGTAGGTTTCTCTCCACATGAAGTCTGCATTTTAATTTTATAAAACATCCCAAATAATCATCTTTTAGTAGTACGACACGATTTATTGCAGTTTACAGTTTTGTGATTTATACTGTGCTGACCCTTAATTCCTGGTATTTATGCTTTGCTCCTAGCTTAATAGCGGTTGTCAAGCTTTTAAAATGACATAATATATCCAGCTTTCACAACCATTGACAGTATGATAGAAAAGTATAGTCTCGATGACATTTGCAAATCCCTTGTTGACTCATTTGTAGCCTATTCTTTTATCCCGTTTTTTTTTGTTCTTTTCTTCCTTCGCTGTTTATGTATGTTTTTGTAAAACGTCCAATAACATACAAGAGAGAAAAGAGAATGGCGTTGCAAATCAACTTTAAGCCTGAAAAGAAATCCACATGAACAGACTTAAATGTTGGTGGAGATTCCCCAGGTCATGATTGTCCCAAAGGTGCTTTTTCAAGAGGTAATTGGACTTTCTGGTTAAAAAAAAAAGAGTCCAGTTGCCTTTTTTTTAAAAAAGCACCTTTGGGACAACAGAGTTAAATATTTCTCAAAATCAGGACTAGGTGCTGGGGTGCTGGGATGGCAGTGGGAAGTAGGAACATCATGCTGCTGGAAACACATGGATACAATGGCTAAACAACATTGATCTGGATTTTTATTTATTCATTTACTAGCTCTATACCCATGCTTCGCTACAAAACTATGTGGTCGGGCTTAGTTTTTGGCGAGGAAAATAAGGGGGGAAAATTGTGCCTCTGCCTACCAGCATCCATTGGTATTCATCTGGCTAGCGTACTGTCAGTATGTGAGAGAGTTGAGGGCTGTTTGGAAACTGAATCAGTATTTGTTGTGTGAACGAGACAGCAAGGAGCCTGGGCGTGGCTTAGCTCAACTGTTCTGTACTAAAGCTGCTTGCTGCTGTGAAACAGAAATTCCTCTCCTCTGCTTGTATTTTGCATTTGGAACAGATTTCTTTTCAGGTGGGGAGGGGGAGTAGAACTCCTTAGCATCAGAGCATGTTAATAATAATATATGAACTACTAATGCACTGCTGGTCATTTCAAAAAATCCTTTCTTAATGAGCACCTAGAAGCCAAGAGGAACATACATACATACATACATACATACATACAAACATACAAACATACATACTCCTCCTCCTCATTATTATTATTATTATTATTATTATTATTATTATTATTATTATTATTATTATTATTATTATTATATCTTTGGTGAGATTCACAGCCTTTGGGGCTGGTTGGTAGCTCAACAGCTCAAGTCTAACCAAGGACCTAGGACTTGTTGAGGTAGCACCGGAGGATATAAGTAGGGTGTAGAATCAGGGTATTCAAGTCTGATAAATTCAGAATTTTCAAATAGTGAGGTAGCCCTTTAGGTATTGCTCCAAGGGCTCCAATTACAATTGCGATAACACACAATTTCTTTTTCCAAAGACGCTCAACTTCAATTTGTAAGTCTCAGTACTTTGTGATTTTTTTCTTGCTGCTTGTCTTCAATTTGTACATCACCGGGTATTGCAATGTCAATGAACCAAACCTTTTTCTTCTTCTTATTTCCACATTTCTGCACTGCCCATCTCCCTCCAAGTTGGACTTTGGGCAGTGCACAATAAAATGTTAAAATATAAAACACTACAGGTAGTCCTTAATTTTTTTACAATCATTTGGTTAGTGACTGGTCAAAATGAATTAATCAGTGGAACAACCTGCCATCAGAAGTTGTGGATAGCAATAGCAATAGCACTTAGACTAATATACCGCTTCACAGTGCTTCTCAGCCCTCTCTAAGCAGTTTACAGAGTCAGCATATTTCCCCGAACAATCTGGATCCCCATTTTACCCACCTCGGAAGGATGGAAGGCTGAGCCAACTTTGAGCCACTCAGAATGGAACTCCTGGAGTGAGCAGTGAGTTAGCTTGCAGTCCTGCATAATCTCACTCTGCCAAGTAGCTTCTGGATTCCTGTGATCCAGAAATCCATCCTGACCCCCAGGGGACCTCTAGATCAAAGAGGAGGGCCTGCTAAACAGTTGATCAAGGCAAAAAGCAACTGCAAATCTTTTAAAGAGAAATATAATAGTTTGAAACGACCAGATTTCCAGTTTCATGGGCACTGGGCAGGCGCTGAAGATCTTTGCAGACATTCTCCCGCTTGCCACATATTTCAGTGAATTATTTCTTTTGCAATGGTCTGTGGCTGAGGCAATACTGGCTGGCTGCCACGGTGGGTGCTTTCATGCAACACATGCTGCCCATCGGTGCAACTAAGGAAGTGATAATGGAAGAGGAGAGCAGGCAGGCAGAAGGGGCCTCTAACAAAACTCCATCTAGTGCCACTATCATCCCAGTTCACAGCTCCCTGGGAGCCCAAGAACAAATGGATTTTAAAGAGGAAGAGAGAGATCTGGGGATTAAGACCCCTTGATTGGGGGTGGGCTTCAAAAATTTCAGCAGGGTTCTCTGCCTGGTTGCTGGGTGGGCGTGGCCATGGTGGGTGTGGCCTAGTCGGCCTCCTGCACCATGGCGGGGGGGGCGGTTTCACCTTCTCCAAGCTCTGGGGGCTTTCCTTGAGCCTCTGGGAGGGAGAAAATGGCTTCCCCCAGGCTCCGGAGGCCCTCTGGAGGCCGGACTTCCAGACTTCCAGGAGGCCCGTTCTTCCCCCTCCCCAAGCCTCCGCGCAGGCCCTGCACTTACCTCACATCCAAAACAGGCCATGTGAAGACTCTTGGGAGGGGGGGGGGACCGCGGGGGGGGGGATTCGGCGTTTCGCTGAACCAGCCGTAACATTAGCAATGGGTCTGCCTGAACCTGGGCAGACCCGTAGCAGGCAGCCCACCGCTGCCCTTGATGTTTTAAACAGCCAGACAAATTATATGACTAAGTCTGATACTAGTCCTACATCACAAAGTCTCTGGCTTTTTGAAAGACTTGCAAGGGATAGAAGTCATCTTCTCTGCTACCTCTATGTCTCACCTGTCAATGTTTTGGGAAGAAGACTTAAACGGGTTTCATGCTATGCTATAAGCCATGGTTTGATTAACTTTGTCTTCTGGAATAAATCCTAACTGGTTTGGAGTAGAAGACCTCCACGGTCCTTTCAAACCCCATCATTTTATGACTAGATAGCATTCTTGAATGGCTGGGTTTGCAGATCCTCTCTTGAAAACCCAAATATTGATTTAGTGCGATGTGTAAACCGGCTATGGTTTCTTTGAAGCATGACTTGTTGAAGAATCCTCTGTGGCTGGAATCCTCATGTTATGCTAAGCCATAATTATGGTTTACAGTCTGTGATGGTTGGCTTCAAAAATAGAGGGTTGTGTCTGCTTCAGAGTGAACCTCACATCTTTTTATCTGATTTTGAATGATTCAGTCATTCCTGTAAGTTGTGGGAAGTTAGTTCTTCCCCACACATGAATTTGGTTAGGCATGCATAAGTGCACCAACGTGCCTACCATCCCTGTCCCACTGTTCCTATTTATTTGTACTCATTTATTATGTATATACTTATACCTGTTTATACTTATATGTTTGTTTTGTTTGTACTCATTCAGAGTATTGCAGCGTAAATTCAGCACCAGAAAAGTAAACACAGATGGCTGAGGCTTTGTTTAACTTCTTTATAAACACAAGTAAATTTTACAATACCAGTTGTAGATTTCTCCATGGAGCAAACTCAAATAGAAGCAGACAAGTTATAGGTTCAGAACAGAACAGCAACTCAGGAGCTCAGAAACAGACATCAGTTTCACTTTAGTTCAGCAGGCAAGCAAGACACACAGCAGAGAAGAGAAGCAGTTTCATTTTCAATAGACAGACTCAGAGCTTAACTAGCTGCAGAGCTTAATATAGAGCCACACCTAGACTACTTCTAGTTTCAGTTTCCAAACAGTCCTCATTGGCTGACTTAGTTGCTATGCCTATTCATTGGCTGACCTTGTTACCATGCTCTATTCCAGTTCATGGATATACTCTGATAATACTTATACTTGTTTTCTCATACATGCTTGACAAACTAAAATAAATAAACCAAGAGGTCCTCTACTAACCTCTTCCAGTTTTACTGGAAGTTTTACTCCTTAAGGTAGAACTATGGATGTTAGCATCCTTAGCCAGCAGGATTGTTGGCTTGGCTGGAAGAAGATGGTGGAAATCACACGTGAAACACGTCCACACATCTACAGCTCATAAGGTTGAAAAAGGCTGCTGTTGTTGATTTATTTATTGAGTTTATATTGCCGCCTATTTACCCATGGTGACTCAAGGCGGCTTACAGAATATTAAACCACATTTAAAACAATAAAAACTAACAAAAATCCGGTTACATATGAAGCTGCCGGAACTTCCTGGTTGGAAGCCTCAATGATATCGTGTACAGGTAGTCCTCCACTTATAGCCATTCATTCAGTGACTGTTCCAAGTTAACGGCATTGAAAAAAGTGATCGGTGTCCATTTTTCACACTTATGACCATCACATCTGGCAGATGGTACAGGATAATAAAAACAAGGACAAATAGGCTGAAGAACAGCTTCTATCCCAGGGCAGTAGCTCTTTTGAATTCTACTGTATAGTGCAGTGTTGGTGTGGTGTTGGGGTTTTCAATTCAATGTGTGGAGAGTGAAGGATGTGTGTTTGTGTTTATTTTCATAGTCATAATGTGCACTGAAGATGGTATTTAATTTTGTTGTACGAGGTGCAATGACAATAAAATAAACAGCATTTCCAGATCACATGATTCAGTAACTGGCATGCATTTGTGATGGTTCCACCATCCCTGGGGTCATGTGGTTGCCATCTGAGACCTTCCCAGCTGGCTATTGACAAGAGTCACTGGGGGAAGCTGGATTTGCTTAACGACCACCTCATTCCCTTAATAACTGTTAGGATTCACTTAACAACAACCGGAAGAGGGTTGTAAAATCAGGCGCAGCAAACCTAACAACCACCCTGCTTAGCAACAGAAAAACTCTGGTCCAAATTGTAAGCCGAGGGAGCTGTATGTTATGATTTCGGGGTGGCACATTATAGAATATGTGCCATTTTCATGGCCCGGGTTGATGGCCCTTGGATACCCATGCTCCACATTTTTCTTGCTCAATAGAAAAGCCAGTTTCAGATGGAGGCTTTGATTTTCTCTAGCAGCGTCTCCAGCACATCTGTACCTGATCAAAGCTATCCCACAGCTTCTGTTTATTTCAAGCCTGTGGGTAGCGCTTTTTAAAAAACATAAAACAAAATTGGTGGGGGCCGGGGGGACCAGCCATCTAGGCTCAGAGGATGATGGCTTTGCCTAAAACAAAATTGTGGGGGGGGGACACCATCCATCTAGGCTCAGAGGATGATGGCTTTGCCACCCCTTCCTCCAATTCTTCTCCTCTTCCAAACCCATTGCTTCCAATGGAGGTTAGTTTGAGGCTTGGATGCTGCCGTGTGGCTTCATCTTCCAGCCTTTTTCAGACTTCTTGGCTGAATCGAAAGGATTTCTCCATCTCTTGGCCTCTCTTGATTTGCAGCTTTGGGAATCTCCAGTTTTTAGAATGTGGCCTTTGGGGAAGGGCTGCCTGCCTGCCTGCATGGCTGAACAGGAAAGGTGGTTTGTGGCAGGATTCAACTGCCAACATTCTTCTGAGGCCGTCCCAAAAATTCTGGAACAGGGAAAGAGCCTCTCTCACCATAGAGGGAAGGGAAGCTGTTATAGCTTTTATGGCCCGCATCACATCTTTTTCATATTGAAACTTGCACACAAAAAAGCTTTGCTGAAATCTATTCAGGTTGTCCTTTATTATGACCACAACTGGAACGATTGTCCTTAAGTGGTATGGTCATTAAGTGAGAACCTTCCCTGCCAGCTTCCCCATTGACTTTGCTTGTGGGAAGCCAGCTGGGAAGCTTGCAAATGGCAATTGTGTGACCCCAGGACCAGTGGTGGGATTCAATTTTTTTTTACTATCCGTTCTGTGGGTGTGGCTTGGTGGGCGTGGCAGGGGAAGGATATACTGCAAAAATTCCCATTCCCTTCCCACTCCTGGGGGAAGGTTACTGCAAAATCCCCTTCCCTCCCTATCCCACTAACCTGCTTTCCAGCTCCGTTCTCCTGTGCAGGGCAACCAAAGAAGAACCAGCCGATCAGCTGGGACTCGGGAGGCGGAGAATAGAGGGGGGCGGGGCCAGTCAGAAGTGGGATTTGCCGGTTCTCCAAACTACTCAAAATTTCTGCTACCGGTTCTCCAGAACTGGTCAGAACTTGCTGAATGCCACCTCTGCCCGGGATGCTGCAACCATTGTAAATATGAGCTGGTGGCCAAGGGCCCAAGATCACGATTGCATGATCCTTGGGATGCTGCAATGTGTTATCAATGTGCGGACTGGTTGTAAATCGTTTTTTTCAGCACCATCGTGCTGAAACTTGATCACTAAATGAATGCTTATAAATTGAAGACTGTCTGTAGTATTTGGATGATTTTTCCATCATTACGATCAGCAGTTTATTTAATTGTTATTATTTTAAATACAAAGCAGTTTGAGAAGGGCTGTACAGAATTTTCTTGCTGCTCATCTGACTGTAGCTTTCAATGCTGTTTTGAATTTAACAGTAATTTTTCTCTCTCTCTACCAACTGGGATTATTTTCAGCCATTTGCAAATTGGATATAAGAAATTACTGATGGTCAGATTTGATAATAATTCAAGATTGCTTTTGCTTTGTTTTGAGGTGTGTAAGCAAATCTCCTCTTTCGTCTTTTTCCAGGTGCAGAATTTGAACAACATAGTCTCCTTTCCTCTGGACAATCTGTTGAAAGGGCAGTTGAAGGACACCCGACTGGTAGGTTGATATATTTTTTTTCTCTTAAGGAATTGGGAATCTTTTACCTGGGGGAGAAATGCAGGTGTCATGCCCCTGTCGGAATCTGATTCCGAGGGGGAGGCCGAGCAGCTGACAGGGAGTAGGAGTATGGCTCCATTGGTTGTGGAAGAAACTGGGGAAGAGTGCAGTCCGGCTGGGCAGAGCAGGGAAGAGGTAGAACAAGGGAGAGGGAATTTGGAGGAAGATCCAGGCCCACTCCCTCTTCATCCTAGGGCACGCAGGGAGGAACGGAGAAGGGAGCAACATGGGTTGCATGGCTTACAGGGGAGGAAAAGGCCCTGATTCCCTTAATTAGTTGCAGCTGGGAACACAGTGTTTAAAAAGGGAAGCTGCGCACAGCAACTTGTTGGGAGCAAATTGTGGCATCACCGAGGCTCATCTGTGTTCCTGGCTTCTTCCCAACTGTGTGAGTTTTGCTGTGCTTTCAAGTCTGCAATTCTTTCTCCTGCCCTGTCCAGTTAATTACTGCAGCGTGGTTTGTTTGGATTTTTAGTTAAAGTTTGTATGTACTTTGTTTTCGGACTGAATTTCCTCCACTTAAAGACTGTTCCTGGGAGAGTTTTTCTCCAGCTGAAGGTAACCTGGACTTTGTGGGCACAGTTGGAGGTATTAAAGAGACTCTTCTTGCTTATTTGACTGTGTTACCTTTGTGCCATGCCCCAGGTCATCACAGCAGGCTTGGAATTGGGGTGGGAAGACAAATATTTTAGAGAGCCCTGGTGGTGCAGTGGGTGGGCGTGGCCAGCTTGACGCCACTCACTGGCTGTGGCTGACTGGGTGGGCGTGGCTGACTGGGTGGGTGTGGCCAGCTTGACACCACTCCCCAAACTGTTGGCATGTTTCCCCTTTGAACTGGGTAGGCCGGGCTGAACCACACTGGCCGGCCCCTTACATTTTCTAGGATGGCCCCACAGGCCAGATCTGACCACATTGCGGGCTGGATCTGGCCCACAAGCCTTGCGTTTGACACCCTTGTGCAGTATTGCAGGCGGACTCTGCCCACAGCTTGGAGTTCGATCCTGATGGGGGCCCAGGTTGACTCAGCCTTCCATGCTTCCGAGGTCCATAAAATGAGGACCCAGATTGTTGGGGGCCAATATGCTGAGATTGTAAACAGTCCAGAGTGTGCTGTAAAGTGCTATGGCAGGGGTGTCAAACTCAATTTCATTGAGGGGCGCATCAGGACTGTGGTTGACCTCGGGGGGAGAGGGGATGGGGGAGGCATGGCCAACTGGGTGGGTGTAACTGACTGGGTGGGCGTAGCCAGCTTGACACCACTCACTGGCTGTGGCTGACTGGGTGGGCGTGGCCGACTCGGTGGGTGTGGCCAGCTTGACACCACTCCCCAAACTACTGGCATGTTTCCCCTTTGAACTGGGTAGGCCGGGCTGAACCACACTGGCCGGCCCCTTACATTTTCTAGGATGGCCCCACAGGCCAGATCTGACCACATGGCGGGCTGGATCTGGCCCACAAGCCTTGCGTTTGACACCCTTGTGCTATGGGGTGTTATATAAGCCTAAATGCTATTGCTATGCTAAATGGCATATATTTGAAGTATCCTTGACGGAGGATGGTTGCCTTAATGCACCATTTGATAGCTTGTGTGTGTTTGTGGTATATGTATGTGTGCTGGGAGACTGTCAAAACAAATCAAGATGATGATTGCAATTGCATTATCAAAGCCCTGTCCTTCTTTATGTGCACTGTAATATGCATATAAAAACGTGTGGGGTTCCAGTCATATAGCTGGGGGACATCATTTTGGCCTTTTTTTTTTCATTCCTTCTCCACCAACATTGCCCCAAGGGGCTCAACAGTGCTTGCGTTTTGTCACGAACTGAGGTTGTAATCAGCCACCCCGGGAGAAAACATTACAGATAGTCCTTGACTTACAACAGTTCATTCAGTCACCACTTAAAGTTACAACGGTACTGAAAAAAATGATTTATATCCATTTTTCATACTTAACAAATCTTTGCAGCATCCCCGTGGCCGCCTGATCAAAATTCAGTTGCTTGGCAACTGGCTTGTATTTATGATGCTTCCAATGTCCTGGGGTCAGTGATCCCTTTTTGCAACTTTCTGATTTAGCGAAGTCAGTGGGAAAAGCCAGATTCACTTAACAACCATGTTCCTAACTTATGAACTGCAGTTATTCACTAAACAACTGTGGCCAGAAAGGTAGTAAAACTGGGCAAAATTCAATTAATAACTGTCTCATTTACCAACAGAAATTTTAGTCGGGGACTACCTGAACTGATAACCTTGGTTCATGCAAAGATATATTGAACTCACGAGGATGCTTTAATTGCAAACATCAGCAGATGAGTTCCTGTGTTTTTTTAAGCTTGTGACTTAGCTTGATTTAAAAAAAAAAGTGCTATTCAGATACTTTATCAGTTCCCCTGATATCGTGGAAAAGGAAGGTCATTAAAAACAAACCTTTAAAAAATTGAAGCACAGTAAAAAGGTGCCCATTAAACTGAATTGTGCAAAACTATCGTATCATGTCTGGTAAGACTTAGCTGTCTTCTGAAATTCCGTGGGAGAAACTAACTATTAAACTCCACATGGGACTTGCCTTAGATGCATGATTATTTATTTATGTTTTAATTTATGTATTTATATTCAGAAGCAGGTTGCAGGTGGCCATAGTAACAGCAGGGGCTGCTTATTTTTAGTTACCTCATTCCATATTATGGCATTGGAAATATCGGCAGATTGCAAGTTTATTTCTTTAACTGGAATTTCGGTTGAAGGGACACCGTGACTTCTGATTTAAGAAAATGGCACCTTTGCAGCAAACGAATATAAATTTCTCAACCCGTTTGCATGATTGGTCTCTGTATGTTTATTTGTTTGTGGAAAGCTTGGGTTTTTTTTTTATCCCTGCTAGCAAAAATGCTTACAACAGCTCTTGCAACATAAAGATAGGGCAAGAATAGAGGCTCATTTCATGGCAATAGAAAATGCTGCTTTGCTCAGGTCGCTTTTGTTAAGTTCCCATCCATTCTGAGATTTTCCAGACTCATTGGTAACTTGCTTTTTTCCACTTCACTTCATTTCATTTCAAGCTTCTGCAGTTGCATACCACGCTGGCTCTATCTACAGACCATGATTCTGTAGGGTTTGAACGATGGCTGCCAGTATGTGGGTACACACAGTTAAAATAAAGCACCAATGCTGCTCGTGTTTTCCTTTTCTTGCTGTGTTTCTCTGCTTTCTCCCCCCCCCCCCCCCCGCCCAATGCCTAATCCATTGTAAACTGGCTAAACAGGAAAAGCCGCTTTGTTCCCTAAAACAGGCTCACTCAGTTTTCTGTTTTCTTTGCGGGCCCTTCTGTGGTGTTGATTTTCTGGCAGAGGGAAAGATTTTTTCCTCATTGCTACAGGCCATTTCTTCACATCAAATAGTTCGCTGCGTGCTGTTTCTAAGGAACCGATTCTTTAGTAGCGCTGTGGGTTGTTTTTTTTTAGGGGGCTGCCAATCAGTAGGACTTAATAGATCACAGTGGATTAAGCAAAGCAGGCTGGGTGGGAAATAATAGATCTAAAAAGGTTGCTTACCTCACTAAACAAGCAAGCATTGGGCCATACCTGAGTGAGATTTCTGACCACCTCTTGTCCAGCGGTCTGTTGGCAGATGTCAAAGAGACTCGCGACCATTAAAGGAAATACTTTTTACTCAGCTTGTGATTCAATTGCAGAATTCACCGCTGTCTGTTGTGGTAGAGGTCTATTGGGTTTTAAAAGGAGCGTGAGTAGATTCATAGAGTATCAGGACATGATGGCTACTGGCATTAAAGGTTGCTTGCTAACTAGTGGGGTGCGATGGCTCAGCAGTGAAAGATGCTGAACTTCTCAGCTGACAGCCTAAGTTCAAAACCCCAAGATCTGCGCAATGGGGGTGAGTTCCTATTACTTGTCCCAAATTCCTGCCTACTTAGCAGCTTGAAAACATGCAAATGCGAGTAGATCAATAGGTACCACTTCACAGTGGTGGGATTCAAAAAATTTAACTACTGTGGGCGTGGCTTGGAGGGCATGGCTTGGTGGGCATGGCGGGGGAAGGATATTGTAAAACCTCCATTCCCATCCTACTCCTGGGGGAAGGATATGCTGCAAAATCTCTATTCCCTCCCCACTCCACTAACCTGCTTTCCAGCTCCGTTCTCCTGTTCAGGGAAACCAAAGAAGACCCAGCCAATCAGCTGGGACTTGGGAGGCGGAGAATAGATGGGGGAGGGGCCAGTCAGAGGTGGGATTTGCCGGTTCTCCAAACTACTCAAAATTCCCGCTACCAGTTCTCCAGAACTGGTCAGAACTTGCTGAATACCACCTCTGCCACTTCAGTGGGAAAGTAAGAGTGTTCTATGCGCCTTTGGCATGTAGCCATGCTGGCCACACGACCATGGAAATTATCTTTGGACAATGCTGGCTCCCTTGGCCAAGAAACAGAGATGAACACTGCGCCCTAAAGTCGGACACAACTGGATAGGGAAACCTTTATCTTTTTGCTAACTAGTGAGCGAAAGGCAACTTACCTTAATGCTGAATTCTGGGAAACGACATTGGAAGGACTTGGATCTGCATATGTACCGCACCAATACTTTGGGACAACCTAGGTTCTTGAGAAGAATTCAGTATGTACAAAGGCCAACACCAGCTAAAAAAACCCAGCAGTTGTGATTTCACATTGCTGTGTATATAGAATAATAATAATCCCGTGTAAGTGAGACACAGAATACTAGACTAGATGGGCCATGGGCAGTGGTGGGATTCAAATTTTTTTACTACTGGTTCTGTTGACGTTGCTTGGTGGGCGTGGCAGGGGAAGGATACTGCAAAATCCCCATTTCCTCCCCACCCCACTAACCTGCTTTTCAGCTCCGTTCTCCTGTGCAGGGCAACCAAAGAAGAACCAGCCGATCAGCTGGGACTCAGGAGGCGGAGAATAGATGGGGGCGGGGCCAGTCAGAGGTGGGATTTGCTGGTTCTCTGAACTACTCAAAATTTCCACTACTGGTTCTCCAGAACTGGTCAGAACCTGCTGAATACCACCTCTGGCCATGGGCCTGATCTACCAAAGCTCATCAGAAAATCTTATAACTGATTGATCTTTTTCCTTAGAAATGTTTTACAACTGGCTAGTTCATCTTGGTTGTTGAATGATCTAGCTGACCTCGTCTAGTCTTGCAAAAGCTAAGCAGAGATGAACCTGGCTAATACTTGGAAGGGAGACCAGATTAAAGGCAATGCTAAACACCTTCCATCTGGCTTCCAAGAAAGTTACGGAGATGCAGCTCTATATCCAGAAGTTACGTTCCAATTGAAAAGTCTAACTCTTTATGCATTCGTGCTGTGCAATGCTTTAAAAGATTTGACTCAGAAAGAGGTGTTTTGAGACCCAGGGCTCTGACTGTAGCAGCTGTGCATGACTCATTAAAGCAGTCACATCTTTTTCCAGAATTGTGCAAAAGATGCTGAAAACCAGAAAGGAATTCTCCCACCTCATCACAAACAGAGCCAACAAAAGAAGCATCTTGCATTTAATGTTGACTTTGGCCCTTTCTGGGATCAACTTCTTATTATTATTCCTATCCACGCTTGACCTGAAAAATTCCTGTAATTAAACATTGGAATAAATGTTATGGTGGACACCATATTAAGGGGGGAGGGAATGCAGTAAAGAAAAACATGCAAGTTGCTTCCAGAGGAACACCTAGTAGTTGAAGATAAATTCATTTTTTAGTCTTCTGAGGAATGCAATAAGCACTGATGCTAGAATATTGAATAAGAGCTCACTTTTCTTTTTAAACTTCTTCTATTTCCCCCTCCCCCAAATAGATTTTTACTTTATTAGACTTTTTCTAATACATGTTTCTTCTATCACCAACATCGCCCCTAATAGTGGAATGAGTATGTATATGTGGTCAAGGAGAAGTAGAAGATATCACACATGTTTTATTCTACTGTGAGTTAGACAGAGTTTATAGGCCAATGTATATTCTCCCTTTACCACAGATTACCAGGAAGGGTAAACAATTTTTATGTAGACTATCTCCTCTGGGACTCAAACCCAGCTATCGTGCATCCAGTAGCAAAATTTCTGTACTGCTGCAATGACCACAAGGAAAAATTCGGTTACAGAATTAATGTCTACTTGCACCAATTTTTTGTAGATATCTCTAACAATTTTTAGAGAAAGTATATTTACACAACATACTTATCCACGATTCAATTATGTAAACGAGGGCATGATCCAAACTGTTTAAGACCATGTATTTTATTACCATGGATGTTACTATCCGCTATTATTATTAGTACTACCTTTTAACACTTTTGTAAACAGTGATCATTCTTGTCTATTGCTGGTCTATGACCATAATAAAGTTTCTTATTATCTCCAACATCACACTTCTTTGGACAAACATCTGGCTATAGGGCTGCTAAACCTATCTTCTCCATGGGCCAATAGCAGTATTGCAGGCAAACTCTGAAGTTTGATCCTGACAGGGGCTCCAGGTGAATTTAGCCTTCCATGATCCTTCCGAGGTCAATAAAAGGAGGACCTAGATTGTTGGGGGGTTAATATGCAAATAATGCTTTTACTTTTTAAACCACCCAGATAGACAGCACTATGGGGCAGTATATAAGCCTAAAGTGCTATTGCTATTAGCAATAGTACTTAGACTTATATACCGCTTTACAGTGCTTTACAGCCCTCTCTAAGCAGTTTACAGAGTCAGCCTCTTGCCCTCAGCAATCTGAGTCTTCATTTTACCCACCTTGGAAAGATGGAAGGCTGAGTCAACCTTGAGCCTGGTGAGATTTGAACTGCCAAATTGCAGGCAGCCGGCAGCCGGCAGAAGTAGCCTGCAGTACTGCACTCTAACCACTGCATCACCGTGGCTCATTGTTCTGAAGGTGCCTGAGAAACTCAGATTTCCAGCCTCCAGTCCCCATGGAGATGGCTCGAATATCAGCCCTCAATGCAGGGATCGATATGTGTTTGCAGGTTTGGGGGGCAGGAGGAACTTTGTCCAATGATGTGGGTGCTTGTGTGGGCGTGTTCTTACCCTCCAGTGACTCCCTTGCTGATTCCTTCTCCTTTCTTCTCTTTCCCTGGGCAGGATTCCAAGAAGCAAATTGAAAAGGCTTGGAAGGATTACGAGACCAAAGTGTGAGTAACCAACCCGTACTGCCTCTGGCAGGAGCGGATTGATTCTTCCATCTTCTCCTAAACAAAAGTGTTTTGTTGTGGACAAGCCAGAAAGGGAGGTTGTGGGATTTGGGTCAGCCAGCCAACGAGACTGTCCTTTACAACGTGCCTCTGGGCTATTTGGTATTTTCCTGGCCGTAGTGGTTCAAGTGCTACGGATCGCAAAAGCAAGACATGTTTTGAAGAACACTTGGAGCTCACCTCGATTCTGTCAGTCACTTCTTAAAGCAGCTGCTTCTTTTTTTCGGGGGTTGCTTCATTGTCTTCTGCAGCTGCAGGGCCAATCCTTGGAGACACACTTTGATTAAGAAGTTGTAGACAGGCACTTATAGGCCTCACCAAGGCCACATATTTTCTCAGGATGGCACTGCGATTCCAGAAAGCAGCCATGCAATCCTCAGGAAAGAAAAGCCAACTGCTGTAAGGAGTAGTTGATGGGCGCCTCCAAACTTGGCAACTTTAAGACTTGTGGACTTCAACTCCCAGAATTCCTCAGCTAGTCATGCTGGCTGGGCAATTCTGGGAGTTGAAGTCCACAAATCTTAAAGTTGCCAAGGTTGGAGACCCCTGCTTTAGAGATTCTGCTGGAGGGTTTGAGAGTTGGAATTATTCTCCTCCTTGGGCAGTTTTTGCCTAGGGTCTTTTTCAACCTTGGCAATGTTCAGATGTGTGGACTTCTACTCCCAGAATTCCCCAGACAGCGTGGGACTCCCAGTTGAAGTCCATACACCTGAAAGCCATCTGGCTTTGTACATACAGGCTCGAAAGCAGCTGCATGTTAAGCTGTATACACCAAAGCCAGCTTGGCTCAACCTTGGCAGCTTTCAGGTGTATGGACTTCCAGCACTGACTGGGGAATTCTGGGAGTTGAAGTCCACACTTCTGAACATTGCCAAAGTTGAAAAAGACCTAGGCAAAAACTTCCCCCACTAAGGAGAAGAATAATTCCAACTCTCATACCCTCCAGCAGAATCTCTAAAGCCGGGGTCTCCAACCTTGGCAACTTTAAGACTTGTGGACTTCAGCTCTCAGAATTGCCCAGCCAGCATGACTAGCTGAGGAATTCTGGGAGTTGAAATCCACAAGTCTTAAAGCTGCCAAGGTTGGAGACCCCTGCCTTAAGGCGTTTCCCTGCATTGCAATCTGTATTAAAATATGACTGCAAGTTACAGACAGATTGCAGCCACAACCACCTGTAGAATTCCCCGTACACCATTCGTACCTCACAAATTAATCCAACTCTGTCTATCATGTTACCTCTGGGATTCTCTGTTGCCTTAGAGCAAAGCTGGAGAAGGAGAAGGAGCGAGCCAAGATATCTGGAGTCATCCAGACTGAACCTTCGGCCACCGAAATCACGGAGGACCTGCAGAAGGAACGCCGCACTTTCCAGCTGCAGATGTGCGAGGTAGGAAATGGCTTCTAGTCACGTCACAAGTTCTTTTTGTGGTGGAAAAGAACTTTCGGTCCAGCAAATAACTTTGTTGCATCTGAATAGGCAACCCATCTACATGCTTACAGTCAACAGCAAACTTGTTAACACTTTGGTGACCCTGCAGTGATTTTTGGTGGTGCAGCTGTGGTGACGCAGTGGTCAGAATGCAGTATTGCAGGCTGACTCTGCTCACTGCCAGGAGTTTGATCCTAACTGGATCAAGGTTGACTCATCCTTCCATCCTTCCAAGGTGGGTAAAATGAGGACCCAGATTGTTTGGGGTAATAAGCTGACTTTATAAACCACTTAGCGAGGGCTATAAAGCACTATAAAGCGGTATATAAGTCTAAGAGCTATTGCTACTGCTATTGCTATTTTTCACACATAACAGCTGAGTTGTTAGATATGGGAAGAAACTTGGCCTCAATGGGAGCTTCCTTCCCACTGCATGTAGCAGGGGTCTTCAAACTTGACGGCTTTAAGACTTGTGGACTTCAACTCCCAGAATTCCTCCTCCAGTCATGTTAGCTCAGGAATTCTGGGAGTTGAAGTCCACAAGTCTTAAAGCTGTCAAGTTTGAAGACCCGTGGTGTATAGCATAGCAGCCACATCAGTGGGTATTGGGGAAGAGTCCCACTTGGAGCAGAGCAGACAAGGCTGGCCCTGCTGTGAGGCAGAGGGGATCAGCTTCCTCAAGTGGCAGATTTTGGTTGTCACGACAGAGTCACTGAGCAATTAATTAGTTATTTTAGTTCTACTTGCAGAGATGAGTAGAGAAACTCTAGGATTCTAAAAGCTATGCTGGCGCAGTGGTTAGAATGCAGTATTGCAAGCTAATTCTGCCAACTGCCAGCAGTTCAGTTCTCACCGGCTCAAGGTTTGATTCAGTCTTCTGTCCTTCTGAGGTGAGTAAAATGAGGACCCAGATTGTTAGGGGCATTAGGCTGACTGTGTAAACCACTTAGAGAGGGCTGTCAAGCACTATAAAGCGGTATATAAGTCTAAGTGCTATTGCTATTGCTTCCTGAACTCCCGGGAGGCCCGTTTTTCACCCTCCCTGAGCCTCCGCGTGCACCCTGCCCTGCCCTGCATCCACAATGGGCCATGTGGGGACTCCTGGGAGGGGCAGGGTGGGTGGAGGGTTCAGGAGTGGGATTGGAGGTTTCTCCGAACTGCACAGAATCTTAGCTAGGGGCTCTCCCAAAGCCCTGCGAACCCCCAGCAGCCCAGCCCTGATTGAACACCACTTTGCACGGTCAGCTGCGTCTCCAGGGCGCAGGCCCACAGCTTATACAGCTTTGTTGATGTTGTCTTGCCATCTCTGTTTTGTATGCCCACAAAATTGCTGGCCATTGACTTGTAGTTGGTAGGCAGTCTTGGCTACGGTGGAAGCAGGGGTGGGATTCTACCAGTTCGCACCTATTCGCTAGAATCGCTTGTTAACATTCTAAGCAGTTTGGAAAACTGGTTGTTAGAAGAAATTATTGGCCTAATCCTGTAAGGAAGGCAGGAAGGAAACATTCTGGTGTTGCTTACAGAAACTGCCTCTCCGTTAACCCTTATTACATTCTTGGCAGGACTAGATTTCCTGTCTCAGGAACTTCTCTGGAGTTTTTCCCCCTCCTTTGCTGGTACTTTGCTTGTGTGGAGTGACCATTCAAAGTTACAATGGCACTGAAAAAAGTGATTTGTGACCGTTTTTCACACTTACGACTGTTGTCATGAGAGGCCAGGAAAGGAGATGCGTGCCTCAATGTGAGCGATATTGTGTTGGCCACACCCAGCCAATAACATGACCACCAAGCCATGCCCACCCAGTCACATGACCACCAAGCCATGCCCACCACGTAAGCCATGCCCACAAAACCGTTTGTTAAAATTTTTGAATCCCACCCCTGGGTGGAAGGTATGGACGTATCCATACCATTTGCTAGCTGAGACTGTATTTAGCAAAAGACCTTAGTGGAGATGGGGGACAAAGGGTGGAGATGCAATCAGGCTAATGGTAAATTGGCCTCTTTGGTTGGATAGCATCCAAACAGCTGGAAACATTTTGGGGTTGTTGCGCATACCCTCCTCGCTTGCTCCTGGCCTTCTCCCAATCTGTTGCACATGAAGTCACAGTTTCCCAAAAGTGTATGAACTCTTTTGATTAAATAACCAATCCAATATTTAGATGATTGGATCTCACAACCAACACTGCTTGAGTCACTTCCTTTTCTCTGTGGCAAATGTCCTTTTTTAAATTGCATTCTGCAAATCCTATTTGCTTTGCAGTGCAGAATGACTTGTGTGTACTTACAGGGAGCACCTGATATGTAGTATTGCCAAAAAAAGGACTTTGACTTAGGCCAAGCAGCCTGCTCCCCCTCTCCCTCCCTCCCTCCCTGCTTCCCTCCCTCCCTCTCTCTGTCTCTGTCTCTGTCTCTCTCTGTTGCAATAGGCTAAGTGTTGTGTATACTGTGCACATTAAGGCTACTTCCTGGTGGTTTACAAAACCTTGCTTGGTCTATGTGTTGAGACTTGTTCAGCTTGCTGCCCGAGCTATTGCACACAAGATAGACTAAAGTAAATAGGTACAGTTATTGTGAAAAAAAGACTCATCATACATCAGATTAACAGAGTTGGAAGGGACCTTGTAGGTCATCTAGTCCAACCCCCCCACCCAAGCAGGAGACCCCACACCATTTCTGACAGATGGCAGCCGAGTCTCCTCTTGAAAGCCTCCAGTGATGAAGCTCCCACAACTTCCGAAGGCAACTTCTGTTCCATGGGTTGATTGCTCTCCATGTCAGAAAATTTCTTATTCTTTCTAGGTTTTTCAGTATCCATCCATTATTCCTTGTCTGGCCTTCAGGTGCTTTGGAAAATAGCTTGACCCCTTCCCTCCTCTCTGTGGCAGCCCCTCAAATATTGGAAGACTGCTATCCTGTCTCCTCATATACATATACAGGTGGCTCCCAATTTATGACTACAACTGGGGCCAGGATTTTCATTGCTACGTAAGGCAATTGCTAAGTGAGCTGCGTCCAATTTTACGACCTTTCTTCCCATGATTGTTAAGTGAATTCCTGCAGCTGTTCAATAAATCATTGTTAATCAAACCCGGCTGTTCCCATTGGCTCTGCTTGTCAGAAGCCAGCTGGGAAAGTCACAAATGGTGATGACACCATCTGCACGCTGACAATGATGTGACAGTCATAAGTGTAAAAAATGGTCATAAGTTACTTTTTTCAGTGTTGTTGTAACTTCAAATGGTTGCTGGATGCATGTTTGTAAGTCAAATACAGGTAGCCCCACAATTGAGCCCAGAAGTTACGTTGCTGAGTGAGAAATTTGTTAAGTGAGTTTTGCTCCATTTTACGGCTTTTCTTCCCCATTCATTAAGAGAATCACTTGGTCATGCCGCTGGTGGAGACTGACTCTGAGGAAGAGGAGGAACAGCCAACAGGGAGTGTGGCTCCAGCGGTGATGGAGGAGGCTGGGGAAGGGCAGAGGCCGGTTGAGCAGTCAGAGGAGGATCCAGGCCCATCCCCTCTCCATCCTAGGTCATGCAGGGAGGAGAGGATCTGGGAAAAGCGAGGTCTACTCAAGAGGAGATTACCATGATCCTCCTCGTGGCTTGCAGGTGGGAGCTATGTATAGAAGTTTGCAACTGCGCAGTTAGAATTTGCAGGAGTCAATTCAGTGTTCACCTTGAAAGAGGTTTATCTTTGCTGGTGTTCTTCCCATGGACTTTTCTCGGTTATTTTCCTGGAGTTTATGATTAGTTATCTTGGCTTGCTTCGGGACTCTCATCAATGCGGTTTGTTTTGGTTTTCTGTTTGCCTCATTATTTACTTTTGTGACTTTAAACTGTGCCTAATAAAATAGTGAAGTTAAGTTGAAGGCTTTACCGGACTTTAATATATGTTTTGGGTTCGAAGTTATTTTGAGAGCTTACGGGTCATCACACACTTGTTGCCAAATTAGTAACACCATTATTAAAGTGACTAGGGTTTCCCCATTGACTTTGCTTGTCAGAAGATTGCAAAAGGGGATCCCATGACCCCAGGACTCTGCAACCGTCATAAATATGAACCAGTTGTCAAGCATCTGAATGTAAATGAGGATGCTGCCGTGGTCATAAGTGTGAAAAATGGTCATAAGTTCCTTTTTTCGGTGCCGTTGTAATTTTGAATGGTCACTAACCCTAACCCTAACCCTAACCCAACCTGTATTTGTAGCAGCATGCTGGCTGAGGAATTCTGAGAGTAACCTATACATTAGTTAATGGGTGAAGCAGAAGAAAAATAATTGTTCTGGAGTTATGTAGACACTTAAAACTAGAACTGAATACAAACAGTTTTTAAGAATTGTCCACTGAATTTATAAGAACCATAAAAAAAAGTGCTAGAATTTTTGCTGTCTCCTTTTAAATAGAAGGGATCTGAATTGGAAAAAAATCTGGCTCAGAAATATATGATTTCAAGCACGAAAAAGACTGTTTTGATAGTTTTAGAAGCGTTTCAAATGCAAAATGCTATACATTCAGCTTAAAACTCCTCCAGAATAATTGAAACCACCCTATTTTCCACTCAGTCTTTTGAATATGAAGCAGGGTGATTGATTGGTACTCAAAGTAGGGTGTTTGGAATTCAAAGCATTTTGCACTCCCCGATGACAACCAACGGGCATAAAAATGCTTTCAAAAGAATGACATAGTCAATGCCAAAAGATCTCACTGTCTCTGAAGATAGCAAACAAGCTTTCCATCTGAAAGGACTTTCTCTCTAATGTACTGATATGCCCACGTCAACACCTGCCACTTTCAAACCTACCAGCTTGTGGGAAGTTTCCAGAATGCCTTGCTGTGGGAAGTGGTACATTTCCATTTCCCAGAATGCCCTTTAGCATGGCTCTGGTGCATTGTGGGAAATACAAAATGCCGATGGCTGACTCCCGCAGACACGAGAAAGAACTCAGAACACTCA